AAAAAAAAAAAGAGTTGCCTGCTTAAGTATTTAGGGAATGATGTATCACATCTGTAACTTACTATACAATGGCTCTGGAAGAAAAAAGTCTGTATAACTATAGATTTATCAGTCTATATAGAGAGAGTGATAGGAGGGAGAGGAGAGAGAGAGCAAAGCATAATGTTAATAATTGTTGAATCTGGGTTGTTAAGACTATACTGGTGTTTATTGTACTATTCTTTTAATTTTTCTGTAGGTTTGAAACTACCCCAAAAATGTTGGAGAAAAGAAAAAGTATAGAACTAAGCAATATTGACTATTTCTGACTTTTTCCATTAATCTGTTCGTGATTTGTGAATTTCGTGTGGGCCAACATTTCCTTTAGATAAATGGCAGTAAGCACCATTTATAGAAAAAAATCTAAATTATGTTAAAGACCTTAGTTTTTCCTATAAACCAATCCAAGACCATCATTATTTATTGTAGCAGAACACCTCAAAATAGTCTCCCTTGAAAGTAGTTTGAGAAGGTGAGTAGGCTCTTATAAGTAAGGGTGGAGATCTTCTGCTTCTGTTCTCAGTCCCCGACTTTGATGCCATCAGGGCCCTGCCTTGTTCTAAGCTAAGTGGGCTGTGAAACTTGGTTCCTTGGGGCGATCTCTTCCCACTCCCTGCTTTCAGAGAAAAAAGTAACCCTCAAACCACACGGGGCAATTTCTTCCCACTCTCTGCTTTCAGAGAAAAAAGTAACCCTCAAACCACACCAGCAGGAACCGGGAACACAAGTGGCTCGTGTCTCTCCCTGTAACAGGGCTGGATGCCCTGCTGCTTTATCCTAACTGCCCCACTAACAGCCGGGGTGACAGAATCGTCCCCTACCCACCGTGGCCTCCAGCCCTCCTCTGGATATTACAGTTCTTCAAGAGCAAGGCCAGATTTAATCCATGTCTGCTCTCCAAGAATGAAGCCTCTAAGACTCCAGGTGGGCAAGCCGGCACTACCACCTCCCACTCCTAGCATAAGCATTACAACATCTGTTCATCTGGATCCACTCAGTTCCCCTCCTTACCCATCTAGTCTTTGATGTTTTTTTCATCCGTGCCCAAAGGAAGCATCATCACTTTATTCAGGAGATAATCAAATATAATACAGGGCTGACACTGACAAATAGCTGCACAGAGAATTATATAAATCTGCTCCATTCCCCAGAAGAGACTCAGTCACTGTAAACAAGGAAGAAAAACCAGGACGGTGCCTAACCCACTGCAGTGTTTCAAGCAAGCATCCCCACACTCCCGGAGTGAAAGTGGGCCTCAGGTGGAGGTGATCCTTTCAGCAGGAGGAGGGGGAGGCAGCACCCATGCGGAAGTCTGCTGCCGGAACCCCACCAGACAGTGCTCAGCGACAGGCCTTGTTAAACTCCCGGAGGGCCCAGCGCTTGTTCTCAGCTGCCTGCTTGAGTTGAGTGTACTCTTTTACCAGCCTGTCAAACTCCTCCCCAAGGACCTCATAGGTGCTCAGGACCTGTCGGGACTTCTCCATGTCCTGTTCTTGTAGGCGAATGGCCCCCTCCAAACGGTCCCTATATGCCCAGGGAACAGAAGATACAACGTAAGGATCTGGCTCCTCAGAAAGGAGACAAGAATGTGAACACATTAAAATGAGCGGGTGTGGAGAGTGTGGGACCAGCCCTGGGTAGTTGGGCCAGGCCCTTCGGAGTTCTCACCTAATGAGACGATGAACTTCCACCTTCTCAGCAGTATAAGCGTCAGACAAGATCTTTAGCTCCTCCATCCTGACAGAGGGGAAAAAAGAAATGCTGAGGGTCCCTGATGGCAGCAGAGTTAGGAACAGGACATAGTACCTGCCCATGGTCAAGCTGTGGGCTAAGCAGTGACAGGATAAGCAAGGTCACTCTGAATTCCTGAGTAACATATCTCACAAGAAAGCACCTATTTTGGAAGGCTTTGAAATAAGACTCAAGGGGAACCCGAGTGGTTTAGTGGGTTGAGCATCCAACTCTTGATTTTGCCTGAGGGTCGTGAGACCGAGCCCCACGTTGCACTCAATGGGGGGTCTGCCTGTCCCTCTCCCTCTGCTCCTCCCCCCCACTCCCATGTCTTTAAAATAAATAAATAAAATTTAAAAATGAAATAAAATAAGACTCAAGAATGTTGAAAGGGGCGTCTGGGTGGCACAGTCAGTTGAGCGTCTGACTCTTGGTTTTGGCTCAGGTTGTGATCTCAGGGTTGTGGGATCGAGCCCCGTGTCAGGCTCCACACTCAGCACGGCGTATGCTTGGGACTCTCTCTGCCCCTCCCCACAGTGCACGCTTGCGCTCTCAAAATAAATAAGTCTTACAAAAAAAGAATGTTGAACACTTCTGGGTAATCCAATGGCTAATACTGCTGTGTGCCATTAACTGAAGACCCATAAGATGCTAGGCATGGCGGACAGGAAAGAGAGATGAAGGGGAGGGTGTGTGAGACCGAGTTCCTGAGACCCACAGGGGTCAAACAGCTCACCTCAGCTTAAGGATCATGGCACTGCACTTGATCTCCAGGTACTGGGCATTGATGCGGTCCAGCTCAGACTGAGTCTTAAGCCGGTGCTCCTGAAGAAGCCTCTGCAGCAAGGCAAGGCAGCGCAGAAGTACCTGAGCCCCCGGGAGGCAGGAAGAGGGCAAAATCAACAGTAGAAAAGAAGGTAGATCAAAACTCCCTGGCTTCCCCAAAAGCGCCCCTGGTGCCAGGATAAAAGACAGAGGAGGCTATCCCACTGCCCTGACAAACCTGGGAGTAGGTGGCACTCTTCTTTTCGAGCAGCACCATCTGCTCCTTCTGCTGGCTCTTGGCATCCTGGCATTGCTGCTTCTCATCCACCAGGACCTCCGCCAGTTTCCACACCTTTGCTGCCTTCAAGGTTTCACTGTCGGAATCTGGGCAAAGAGACAGAGGACTAGGGGCACCTGGGTGGCTCAGTCGGTTAAGCGTCTGCCTTTGGGTAGGTCATGATCCCAGGGTCCTGGGATCGAGCCTCGCATCGGGCTCCCTGCTCAGTGGGGAGCCTGCTTCTTCCACTCCCCCTACTTATGTATGCTCCCTGTCTCTTTCTCTCTCTCAAATAAATAAATAAAATCTTAAAAAAATAGTAATAAAACAAAACAAAAAAGAGAGGACTAGACAGGAAAACCCTAATTTATGCTACTGCCCTTCTAAGGCCATTTTTCAGTGTGCTATCCCACATCTAGCCCTACAAATTCTTCAGGTTTGCTTCTGGTGTCCTGTTAAAATGGCCCAGTTCTCGGGGTGCCTGGGTGGTTCAGTTGTTAAGCATCTGCCTTTGCTCAGGTCATGATCCCAGGGTCCTGGGATTGAGCCCCGCATCGGGCTCCCTGCTCAGTGGGAAGCCTGCTTCTCCCTCCCCCACTCCCCCTGCTTGTGTTCCTGCTGTTGCTATCTGTCAAATAAATAAAATCTTTAAAAAAAAATTAAAAAAAATAATAAAATGGCCCAGTTCTCATAAAGTTCTCTTTACTCTTACCTTTATTATTATTTTTTATTTAAATAATCTCTACACCCAACACGGGGCTCGAACTCATGACCCTGAGATCAAGAGTCAAATGCTCTTCAGACTGAGCCAGCTTCATGCCCCTCGCTCTTACCTTTAAGTCCAGATTTGGCCCTTAATTCTTAAGTCATAGAAATGAAGATAAAGGGAATACGTATTAGCCTGAACTTTCTTCCCTATTCCATTTTGATTCTCTGGGGATGAATGAACTCATCCTTCCGTGCAGTAAGAGGACACTTGGTACCTTGCTGAGCAAAGGGAGTTCTCACACAATTCCTTGCTTGTATTCTACCAGCAAGGAAGCAAACAAATAAGCATCTCCAATGCTTCCTAGCTTCCGTCCCAAATCTAAAATTCAGTGCATTCTTCTCAGAAGAGCAGACCAGGAACTCTGCAGGTTAGCTGGGAACATAGCAGAGTGCCAGCACTCGCCTGAATTGGGGTCATGGTAGCAGAGCAGGGTGAAACATTTCTTCTTGAGCTGCTCCTCCACATCCAGTGGGAGCCGAGCTCTCATCCACACAAAATCCTATAGCCACAGAAGCAAAAAGAGAGATGCAAATAGACTATTAGAACTAAGATCCAGCCAATGAGTATAGGATAATAACACTCTCACCGATAACCAGTGAAAATGCATCAAGAGACAACAGTGAGATTCATTTTTAATAGCCTATCAAATTTGCAAAGAATAAAATGATGGTCAAGACCCCATGTTGATGAAAAGGTGGGGAACTGGCAATATGTACCAATATGTTTAATGTGTATATCCTCTGACCAGTGATCCCACTTTGAGAACTCATAATTGGGGAAATAATCATACAAAGGCAAATACACTTATGAACTAGCATGTTCCTATCAGTGAGGTTTCTAACAGCAAAAATGTAGAAACAACCATATCCATCATTAAGGTTAAGCAAACTATGCTACATCCATACAATGGAATCCATTTTTTTTAATGTAATCTCTACCCCTCAATGTGGGGCTCAAACTCACCACCCTGAGATCAAGAGTTGCAAGCTCTACCAACTGAGCCAGCCAGGCGCCCCCATACAATGGAATCCTATCAGTGATTTAAACTGATGATATAGGGGCACCTGGGTGGCTCAGTTGGTTTCGGCTCAGGTCATGATCTCAGGGTTGTGAGATTGAGCCCCGAGTCAGCTCCATGCTCAGCAGGGAGTCTGCTTGGGATTCTCTCTCGACCTCTGCCCCTCCTCTCACTTGCATTCTCTAATAAATAAATATATCCTTTAAAAAATAAAATAAAACAGGGGTGCCTGGGTGGCTTAGTTGTTAAGCATCTGCCTTCGGCTCAGGTCATGATCCCAGGGTCCTGGGATCGAGCCCTGCATTGGCCTCCCTGCTCGGCGGGAAGCCTGTTTCTCCCTCTCCCACTCCCCCTGCTTGTGTTCCTGCTCTCGCTGTGCCTCCCTGTCAAATAAATAAAATTTTATAAATAAATAAAATTAAACAAAATAAACTGATGATATAATAAGAACACTGAGCACAGACTATGTGCCTGGCACTGTGCTAAGAGTGCTTTAGGAGCTATCATCTTATTCACATTTATTTATTGACTTGAAAAAAGTCCCAAATATATTAAGTGAAAACAGATTACATTCACTACACAAGCATGGAGGCTATAATACTATTTATGTCGAGCTGTATATAATATACTGTACTTATTCCTAGATGTAGTATTTCAGCTTTTACTTTCTTCTGTGTAACATTTTTCTTATTTGAGTTTGGCCCCCATGAACATGTATCCTTTTTACAAAAACAAAAGTGTAACAAAAAAAAACGTTTAAATATATGGGAGAGATTAAGCCATTTCACTTCTTTGGTCCCAATATCTGCCCACCCCCAACCTCTGAGGAGGGCATGAGCTCCAGAAGGTCTGCCTTCTCCAGCCCCAGCAGTGGAGGCATTTCCCTCTCCTGGCTGGGACCTAACAGTCGTGTCAGTTCAGTCACGAGCAGCCGCTGTTCAAGGGTCTCATGAAACTGAGAGAGAATAAAAAACAAAAAGAGGTTACTATACAACTTCTCCCCCTCCACCTCCTCCATCCTCATAAACCAGTTCCTCACATATTTTCAAAGTCCTCAAACATCTTATCCCCTTCAGCTGCCAGTGCCTTCTCCTGTCAATCTTTTTTTTCAAAACCTGACAACACACCCACCTCTTCCGCCATAATTACAGTCTATTTCTTCTTCTTCCTTTAACAGATTTTATTTTTAAGTAATATCTACACCCAATGTGGGGCTTGAACTCACAACCCTGAGATTAAGAGTCACACGCTCCACCCACCGAGCCAGCCATGGGCCCCAGTCCATTTCTTCTTTGATAACCATTACCTGAAGTTCCTATTTCCCCCAGAGCATACAATCAGGTGAAGCCATAGTTGGCCTGGTCATTCCTGCAGCTGGTAACTACCCCCTACTGCATCTCTCCTGCTTCACCTTTTTGTCCTCAGAAGTTAAATTTGTGTCTTGTGTCTTCACATAGTAGTCCACAAGCAGCTCTTGAATGACTCTCTGTAAAATCTCAGACCTCAGCCATGTTGTCTTATGCAGTCGAACTTCCTTCCATGCCTACAAAACCAAAAAAATCCCAGGTAGGAACCTCTTTCTCTCTTGGAAGATTTTTCCTTCCTCCTATCATCCCTCCTCCCAGGGCTCTTACCTGAGCCTGCTCCTTTGCCAGGGTGAGGCTTAAGCCGCTCTCATCCATGTGCTGTGAGAGACCCAGCAGCAGTTTGCTGAAGTACGGGTTCTGTAACAGGTCCACTTCACTCAGGTTACAAGGAGGAAGCTGTTTGCTGCACACTTAATGGGATGTCCCCCATAGGGGCAAAAAAAAAAGCAAAGAAGCTATCATATATAATTGAGAATCACTCTTAGCTTAATACTCACTTCCAAAAAACCCCTAAGTTTTTAGTAGGGAAGTTTTCTAAATCTAATGAAATGTTTAAAAAACCCCACAAAGGGGCGCGTGGGTGGCTCAGTCGTTAAGCGTCTGCCTTCAGCTCAGGTCATGATCCCAGGGTCCTGGGATCGAGCCCCGCATCAGGCTCCCTGCTCAGCTGGAAGCCTGCTTCTCCCTCTCCCACTACCCCTGCTTGTGTTCCTGCTCTTGCTGTGTCTCTCTCTGTCAAATACATAAATAAAATCGTTAAAAAAAAAACAAAACCCAAAAATAAACTCGAGGCAATACTCAAAAGTAACATGCATTTCTATATATATACAAAGATATTAACCAAGAATTAGGGAATGAGTCTCTAATGAAACTAAGAGCTTAGAAAATGGAAGTACAGTTGGAAAGTATTAGACAAATAGAATCAGGAATAAGGGACCTTTTAGTAGGGGTCACCACAGTACTCCAAATGCTTCATTCACATAGAATAACTAGAATTCTTGAGGAAGGGGAAAAAAAACAAAGGTAAAGTTCCAACTTTGGATGTGATCTCTAGTTGCATAAGCAAGATTGCAAGAAGGTATACTCTTAGGAGTAACTGAAAAACTGAATTAAATTCTTATTATAAACAGAGCTGGGTAACCCATGTGAATTCAGAGCAGCACAAGAATGAGAAAAAGTGCAAGAAACTGGGATCCTCTGGTTATTGCCTCAGCTCAAGGGCCTCTCTTTCCATCTCTTTTCTCACATGCTTTCTGCTGGGGTCTTCTGTTTTACTCCTACTTACCAAACAATCAAACTTTCATTCTTTGGACCATGAGAAAGCACTTTTGGAAAATAAGAACTCTTTTTTCTCCCCCTTAGGCACTGAAGGATCAACATGGCAATGTTCAAAATATAGAAGATTCAAGTTCTTAAAGGATTCAAGATATAGAAAGGGTTTGAGATAGGGAAAGAATTCAAGATACAGAAGGATTCAAGATATAGAAAGGGCTTGAGATAGGGGAAGAATTCAAGATACGTAAGGATCTGAGATTTTGGAGTACAAGATATGAGAAAATTCAAGATCCAGGTAGGAAGGAAGGCTTCACAGAGTTTGCTGGCCACCCTTCTCTTCAGGTTATGCCTACTGACACAGCATGGAAGCGACTGGAGTTTTTAGTCTACTGCACAGGCGGGTGCTTAATGGGAGCCGGTGTAATCTGTTTTCTAATAAGAGTGTCGAGGAATCTTCATGTATCCTAGTTTCCCCAGGAACTTCGGCTTTTATGTGAGAAACCATACTGGTGAACTTTATAAATCCTTTTTATTATAGAAAGCAAGAACCTGGCTCAGACCTCTCTGGGTAAGTCACCAAACCTCCTTCAAATGGCAGCTCTTACCTTGTTGGAGTATTTCCATCCCCTCTCCAGGTGAGCAGAAATCTCCGGATGCCATCTGATTTTCTTAAAATTCTTATGTGTGGAACTGAGTGAAAGAACAAGAAGTAAATAAATTGGGTGGACGCTCTAAGAAAACTACCTTGGGTTCAAATTTCTGTTGTCTATAAGCTGGGGAGGAACCACAGGGATGCCTTTTACAGGGAGAGACTATATCACACACCCTGGGTCTCAAGCTCCTGTACAATTTTTTGGGCAGACTTGTAAGTGGCAAAACAATTTGCATTCTAAGCACATAAATGTTTCCACTTGTTCCAAGCTGTCAAAAATGGGAGCCTCCTTTGGAAAGAAAATTTTCCAATTCACTAAACAGAAGGATGCTCCCCTCCCCTCAACATTATGTCTAAGTTAAAACAGGGTTGCAGTTTTCCGGTTATGAGTGAATTGGGGAAAGCGGTGTGTGTGTGTGGCGGGGGGGAGTCAGTGTCTGTTTTTTTCCCCCCAGTCAAATAACTCAGCTATCAAATTCCACAATAGTTTCTTGAGCTTCTTTAACTTGTCCTTTCATCTAAAATCTGTTGGTAGTTTTTGATCATTAACTCTCGAATCATCCTTCAGGAGTGACAAATCATTCCACACCTGAAAAACAACAACTGGTTTTCACATAACAGCATTAGTAAGGAGCACCTGGAGGAAAGAGCATGACAAGAAGACTAACAGGGAGGTCAGTGCCAAAAGAGCAATGCAAAGGTGTAGTTAATGCAGCTGAGGCTGGATGGCAGCTGTCGGGTGTTTTGCCAGAACATGGAGTACACTGAAAAGTATGACATCAACAGAAAGGGGCAGTAAACATGGGCACAGTTTGCGGACTCTGAAGACTAAATTTTCCCCTTGACGTTATTTTCCTTTTTTTTCCACCCACACCTCTCTGTAAGGTATCAACTCCAAAGGGCAGCTGAGTCTCCCAAAGCAGAAGACATTGAAGGTTATTATGATTTAACACTTTAAGTTCACAGAACATTTGGCTTACTCCCTCGTTTTATGAGTAGCATCAAAGCAACTACTCATTTATTTTGTAACATGGTCCAGGGGGGAACACAGATGAGGAGTCGGAATGCTAAAACTTAATTCGCAGCTCTGCAGTTCCTTTTGTGTGAATTTAAGGGAAATGTTTTTTTGTGCCAAACGTTTTTCCACCTGCAAAACGGAGATAATGAATCCTGCCTTGGCTGAGACACCAAGAATTAATAACACAATCGACTTGTCAACAAAAGCCACTAGTTAGTTAAGCCCAGTGTTTTAACAATTCTGTTTATCGTTTGATCTAAGTTCTGCAGGCACATTTCGCACACGGAAATGAGGACCAACACAGATTTCCAAAAGTCAGCTGTTCTTCCCTCCCTAGGGGAACTGCCCACTTGGGTTTTCTTGGGGTGCCTTTCTTTCACCCTTTTAAAATGTTACCGGGCGTGAACGAAGGCGGCAATCAGGCTCGATTCTCCACCCTCTGCACTCAGACGTGTTAAAACGCTGCTACAGGGGACCCAAGCATTTAAATGTTCTGACTCAGGCGTCTTTTAAATTCTTAAGACCTGTCTTTACACGCTGCACTGAACGTTAAATTGATTTTACAGGTATTTTCACAAGATGTGACCCTTACAGGGCCCGAGATGAATCAAAATGCCGAGCGGGCTCTCCGGCGCCTACTTCCCTTCAGTCTGGGCAGCCAAGGATTCCCAAAGGCGAGGGCGGCCGCGGCGGCCGGACTAACCCTCCCCGCACTCCTCCTCCCCGCAGCGCGGCCCGCCCACCCTCCGAGGCAAACCTGCACACCAGAGGGCAGCTGAAGCTCCCGGGGCCGTGCGGAGCGGGCTGGGACGGGCTGGCCGGCAGCGTCTACACCGGGACCCCGCCCGTGCCCGGGCTCCGGAACCTCTCACTCGGGCCGGGCGCTGGGGCTGGGGGGAAGAAAGGCCCGGGAGGACCGCGCGGGAAGGTCGGGGGCGGGGGGGCGGGGGGTAGGCCCAAAGTGCACGCGAGGTCTCGTGAGAGGGGAGAGGGGCGGGGCCACGCTCGAGGCGGGAACGGCAGGCCCCTCCCCCCGCCGAGCGCGAGCCCTCGGTCCTCAACCGCGGGCGAACCCAGGCTTTAGAGCCGGGAGGGCCTCTTGGCCCGTTTTCCTGAGTACCTCCCCCTTGTTGAGGGCAAATGTTGAGAAAATGGTTTTGATTGCTAATATTTATTGAGGGCCTACAGTGAGTCAGGAACTGTCAAGCAAGGGTTAACTTGCCATTCCTCATTTAGATCTCGTGTAAATTCGTACAGCGTCCTGTGAGGAAGTCACTATCATATCCATTTTACAGAGGGGAAAATTAAGGCGCAAAGAAATTAAGTACTTGTTTGAGGTCGCAGCTCACAGCGTTTTAACCTGACCCAGTGGCCCTCTGAACCTTCCCAGACCTGCCGCCCGCACTGAGCCTGTCAGTCTCCTCATTCTGGCGCAGCCCCCTGGGTCATCTCTCATTTCCTGCCCCAGGCTCCTCTAACCTCTCCATTATCTCTCATCCTTCATTCAGTTGGTTTGCTCGCTCACTTGTGCTCTTTCTCCCCCCCCCCCCGCCACCTTCCCTGCCTCCTTTTTTAAACTATAGGGGCATTTATTGTTTGCTTAACAATTAAGTCTGGGGCGCCTGGGTGGCTCAGTTGGTTAAGCGCCTGCCTTCGGCTCAGGTCATGATCCTGGAGTCCCGGGATCGAGTCCCACATCGGGCTTCCTGCTCAGCAGGGAGTCTGCTTCTCCCTCTGACCCTCTTCCCTCTCGTGCTTTCTATCTCTCATTCCCTCTCTCTCTCAAATAAATAAATAAAATCTTAAAAAAAAATTAAGTCTGGAGCTGGAGGTCCCAAAGCTTTTTAGCAGCTCTGTGGTCAAGGTTCTTTGCAGTTCTCTTTGCATGTCCCTCATGAGCGTAAGAAATCCAAGGAGCACGTCCAGCTCAACAGCCTCCCAAGCAGGAAGGAAGGGGAGGAGCCTTTAGTTAGGGAAGAAAACTTTTCCCAAAGTACCCAGCGGACTTTCCCATATGTCTCATGGGCCAGACTGGGTCACCTGCCATCTCTAGACCAATGAGCTAGATGTCTTCCATTTGCCCCCCAGATGCACATTCTGCTTTTTGACACCCTATTTAGACCAGTAAATACTTCAGGTTTCCATATTCTCTGACTTTCAGCCAATGAGGGATCCCAGCAGGAGTTGCATGGGAGGAGGGGGACAATTACCTCTGACACCACTCCCACCCTCTTTTCAGAGGGGACTGGAATGTAGTCATTTAAGTGAATTATCTCAAAAATAATATTTGATACTAGGTAAATTACACCAAGTTTCTTCAATCTCTCGCATCAGAGAAGCTGATAGTCTGGGGTGGTGGGGAAGGAATGTCGGTTAGGCATGCAGAGCGGTGGAGAGTTTCATCTTTTCCTTTAGTACCAACTAGAGAGTTCTACTAGCAATACATAGAGGAAGAGTGTGATCCAGTGCAGAAATTTTATATCCCTGGTCATCTTGTCAGCTGCCACCTTTCGTGCTTAATATTAAAGTGCTGTCATTTTCTACGGCTTTTAAAAATCATTTATGCTTCCTCAGCTCTGTAGTGCAGCATCATTAAATATCAGGCATAATGTTCCCAAAAAATGATACTTGGAACAAAATAGCAAACATGGTTTGGTGACTCAGAGCTGATCAGAAATCGACTGAAATTTCATGTCTCATATTTGTCAAGTTTTATAAGAGGGTACTATAAGCTTTATCTAAGCAGCTCTAAAGGACTTGGGGAATGGGAGAAAGGTGCAGAGGCCTGTCTTCAGGTTAGGGTAGAGGGGAGGGGAGGGGGAGAGCCATGGGAAGCCTTGAATTGAATCAAACCTTCATATGCAATTATCTGTTCTATCTCTTTCTCTCTCTCTCTCTCTGTGACCTTGGGCTTCAGGTTCCTTATTTGTCAGAAGGAGGAAATAACATATTTCTAGCTCCTCCAATCTCGGAGTGTTGAGGTAATGATCAAATGAGATAATGGCTGAGAAAGTGCTTTGGAAAGACTATCGAAGTGAAGTATTTTAAAATTGACACTTAGCACATATTAAGTGCCTTGGGAGACACAAAGATAAATATGACCCAGTCCCTACCCTGAGGAAGTTCATAATCCAGTTGAGAAGATTAAGACATGCACACGTGAAAAGCAAATAGTACAAGGCAGTAAAAATGTGTCAAAAGAGCAGTTTAGATCATAAATACTTGAGAGGGCGCCTGGGTGGCTCAGTTGGTTAAGCGACTGCCTTCGGCTCAGGTCATGATCCTGGAGTCCCAGGATCGAGTCCCGCATCGGGCGGGGAGTCTGCTTCTCCCTCTGACCCTCCCCCCTCTCATGTGCTCTCTCTCTCTCTCTCTCTCATTCTCGCTCTCTCAAATAAATAAATAAAATCTTTAAAAAAAATTAAAAAAATAAATACTTGAGAAACTTGGGCACCTGGGTGGCTCAGTTGGTTAAGCAGCTGCCTTTGGCTCAGGTCATGACCCCAGGGTCCCGGGATCCAGTCCCAGGCTCTTTGCTCGGTGGGGAGCCTGCTTCTCCCTCTGCCTGCAGCTCCCCCTGCTTGTGCACTCTCTCTCTCTCTCTGACAAATAAATAGAATCTTCTAAATAAATAAATACATACATACATACTTGAGAAACTTAAGGTACAGAACCCTTTCTGAAGGAATGGATAGGAAAGACTATGAAATCAATTTTATCTTAACTGGGCCTAAAAGGAGAGAAAATTTGGATCATTTAGAAATGGAGGAAACATCCCAGCAAGCAGAGGCAGGGACAGGGAGTCCAAGCTGCCTCCTGGGTTCAAGAGGAGATGGGACTGGCTGAAGGGAAGGGGACTGTATAGGCCAGTTCTACCTAAGACTAGAACATTGAGCCTATAGACCATCTTGGCAATAAAAACTGCAGAAAAGTACTGAAAAAAAGATCTTACAATCACACACCATCTGGTGTCCTTGAGCAAGTAAGATTTGCAAGAGAAGCCCTAGAATTCATTCTCTT